TAACTGGCACTTTCAAGGTCTGCAGTAGGACATCCTGCACAATATGTGTCTCTCCCTAAAGGACTGAATAGTCCACACACAGGGCACTGGAGCAGGGTGGGGCTGCAGAGGTAAGTGAGAGATGACAAACTTCTTAGCTTCATGATTTTGCCTGGGGCTGACCCTGTGGGAGGGTTTCAGTACTGAATGCTCTCCATGGCTCTAAAATTACTTAATTTCATAGTCACTTTACAATACCCATATTAAGACTTGAGGTACAATAAAAGTAGGACATTTTCGTGTAAGGTCCCCCAGAGTAAAACACAAATGCATACAAAAAGTTTCATATTGCTGGAAAGTGAAGTTCTCGTGTTAGAGTCAAGTGGATTGAGTTCAGAGTGCTTACAGTTGATCAGAACAACTTATTATTATCCAAAACATTTCGGAAAATGAATCTGACTAGTATGAGTCAGTAACTTCCAAGATGGCCCCCACAGAGACTTGCTTCTGGTAGTGACATTTCTGCATAATTCTCTTCTGTGGACAGAAGAGACATCTGAAGGACAGTCACAGAATGTCACTTACAAAAGAGCACATAAAGCACATGACACAGATCTTGGCTTTCTTAGGGCAATTGCTTTGAGGGAAGTCCTATCATATCTGAGCAGTCCATGGTCCATTGTAGATGTCCAAGAAAGCCATTCTGTGGACTTGCTCATGACCAGCCCCCATCCCAATTCTATCAGGGGCACTCATCCAACAATCTTCTCATTATCATGAAGATATATATATATATATATATATATATATATATATATATATATATGAGACAAGGTCATACTTTGTAGCCCTGGCTATCCTAGAACTCATTATATAGACCAGGCTGGCCTCAAACACATAGAGCTCTCCTTTCCTGTGCTTCCCTGAGTGCTGGGATTAAAGGCACTTGCTACTACACCCAGGGAGAAATAACCTTTTTTGGTATCCTAAGACTCCACAGGTTCAGGAGGTGTGTGCCAGGAACCAGGAGCCAAGAGCTAACATGTATTTTCCAATTGACCACAACTGCTTATGCTACTGTCGTAAAGAAGGAAGCAGCACCATCAGCACAGACCTAGGCATTTGGGCCTTCCCGCAGTGCTCTAAGAATTCATCAAAACCAGTAGATTCATAGGCTACATCAGTTTCTCTGGCTTTACTTCGTGGAACATCACTGGTTCCCCTTGGTGTCAGGGCATGGCCCTCAAAAGTTCTCTATTCCAGTCCAATCTTAATCGCTGACATCTTAACCTGCGACAGTCCTGGCACTCAAATCATGTGTCACTCTTTAGGCATTTCTATCAGGCCACAGAAAACGGGCAAAGAGTAAAGGGACTGCAGGACTTGAAGATGCAACCTACACCCATAATAATTGCAGCGTGTGCGAAGCAAAAAAATGCAACGTGTATCTATAATCCCAGCACAAGTGAGGCAGAGGTAGGAGAGTCAGGAGTTCAAAGCCGGCCGGGGTTACACAGGGGAACACTGTTGGAAAAAAAAAATCAAGGATTTGGCAGAGTACTTACCTAGCATGGGCAAGGCCCTGGGTTTGAAGCCTATCATTGGGGAAAGAGAAAAGAAAATGCAACAATATAGGGAGCCATTGTGATGGGGCTTTAGATCAACACACGATGCAAACCTGCTGAGGGGTTGGGGGAAGGGGTGTCCACACAGTGCTGGAAAATATTAGTGGCAGGGAAATTAAGCTGAGCTGAGCTGCGGTCGCCTGTGTCAAGATGATAGGTCTGCATCTCATGCACAGTCTGGAGTATTCATTCCTCTTGGCATATGTCTTAGGCGAAAAGGTTGCCTCTAAGGTTGTCTGGTGCACTTGGCAAGCTCTCGTGCTCAGTATGGTCCAGTGAGTCCGTGTGTCTGTGTTTCCTCATTTAATTTGATAAGCTCGCAAGTGGTAATTGTTGATTAGCATGAAGAAACCATGGACCAGAATGTGCCTTAGGGTGGTGATGTGCAGATTGGGGTCGTTCGTGTCCGTAAGCAGGATGCAGCGTCATTCGATCTTGGCACCTGTCCTGTAATGGAGTGGAGGGGTTCAGGATGAGAAGCTGCTCTGTGCATCACAGAGTCACTCAGGGAAGGCACAGGATGCTCCCCATAGAGGCTAAGATCTGCGGTCACCATCCGTGCAGTAATTGTTAACTAATCCGGATGTTGGTACCTGGGAGGGCTAAGAAAACCCTGAAAATGTCGTTTTGGAATGGGGTCATGGGTGGAATCACTTGGATGCTGGAGAGAAGAGAAAGTCAAAGAATCTCCAACAAGTGCCAGTGACTTTAAACAGAGACTTTCCACTGGGTCTCTCTAGTGTCCCTTTGTCAACAACTTTTAGGACAGCTGTTCAAGTGGCCTTAGAAAGACTGAGTGCTCCCCACTGATTTGCTTGTAGTTCTCAAACCTACCTATAGAAAACACCGAGAATGATGTGAGTCCTTGAGAGTGTGGTGGTGGCGGCAGGGTGCTG